GCTGGTCTCAGGAATCTACGATCCCCGGCGTATGTGGTGCCAAAGGGGGGTTCTGTAATTACATGCTTCATTAAGACGTGTTGTGGTCGATTGTACTTGGCTCAGCAGTACTCTTCACTTCCTACAGTGCACATTGAGCAGAAGGCAGAAGGTCACCTGTAGGAAGTGGGTGTGTGGAGGGGGCCCGGTTGGCAGATAAGTGGGAGAAAGTCCGGGTGAATACTGTGATGGGCCATGGTTGATTAAAGATTACGTGTTTTTTTGGGTTATTGCCTGATCAGAGCACATACAGAGGAGGAGGAGACCGGGCCTTTGCCGCTGCTGACCCCAAACTGTGGAATAGGTTACCTCCAAAAGAGCTCCTTCATCGGAGGTTTGTTTTTATTCTAGTCTAAAGAAACAATTTTACGCTTTAGCTTTTAACACCAACTGAGTTTTACTGCATTTCATTTTATATGTAGTTGTGCGTATTTGTAGTTGTGCGTATTTTATGCTGTTTTCTTTTTTTTTTGTGCATGTGAAACTTATTCGGCAGCTGGTGATGTTTTAAATGTGCTCTACAAATAAAACTAACTTTGACATTGACATTCAAGAACAGCTCTGTTTTCAAACTTTGTATCTACTCTGGCCAAACCATTACATACATGAGAGGTGTTTTGCAATACAACAAAGTAACTTAATTGCTTTCCCCAAAATATTTCAAGCGTGTGCCTTAATTTAGGTTGTTGCATGTAAGATGTGGCCATGAATAATAGAAAAAAAAAATTATGTCCCCAGTTCTATACCAAGACAAGAATGTTTTGCACTCTGACCATAATGTATTGTGGTCCTGACCAATCTATTATTATAAATTCTATAATGGGAAGGGGACATTTCACTAACACATGAAATATGTAATAATAAATCAATATTCTCAAGGTCATGTGACCAAGATGAACACACATAAAGCACAATATTCTTTATGCTAACGTATTTGCCAATGGGCGAGCTAATTGAGTCGATATGGAATGGATAGAATTCACAGCCTTTATTGTGACAATTTAACTGACAGACCAAAACCACAAAATTAAAATATTGAGAATTTGCTCATCTTTCCTCAATCTCTTTTAGTAGTAGTAGTAGTATTTTTATTTGAGCAGTTTTTAAAAGTTTTTAAAACGCAGGGGTCCTCTACCCAACAGACCAGGGGTGCTCACACTTTTTCAGCATGCGAGCTACTTATAAAAGGATCAAGTCAAAATGATCTACCTACTACAAAAATGCAATCATATATTTATTTAAAAAAATATTATTTATACCTACAATGTATGTTTATGTACATGCAAAACCGCATGAGCCAATATAGCACAACACAACACAATTACCTATGTAAATTTTTTGTCATTACTCGAGTTTACTCTTATGACTTGCACTGAATTGAATCGGCCAGGGATGCATAGTCCGGAAAATTGGTGGTAACTCGCTGACAAGTTTGTCGTGGTTTTGCTTTCCTGCACTGAGCGCGGTTGTTTGCGCATGTGCAGTCACCTAAGTGTCAGTAAAACATTACTGAGTAAAACACAGATGTCATTTAACTGTGGTGCCATGTCCATGTGCCATGCCTGTTTTTTTTTAAATCCAAATATTTCCCCTCCTCAGTTTATAAAATAATTTGCATCCACACATCTGCGTTATCAATCACATTCGTAACATTCCAAACATGTGCGTCTCTTACGTCCTGTCCTGCGTTGGGGAAAAACACGGAAGTGGGCGGAGCTTTGATGCAGACGCCGGTAACGGCACTTTTACAGTCATAGAAGACACTCAGAGTAAAGACGTATGTTTACAAGCACTGACCCCGTCCTCAGCCCTGATTTAGTCCTGGTTTAGTCCTGGTTTGGTTGTTTTCGAGCGTGAGTCCCCGCGATCACTTTGCTGCTCTCTGATGTGGAGGATGTTCGCTGCTGCGAGCATCTCACAGCGAACAGTTTTTAAGGTAGTATGATCCATGCTTCAGTGATCAGAGGAATTTAGGGGGGTACTGTGTCGTGCGAGAACGCAAAACTCCGGTTATCTCTGTCTACACACAAATGCATTAACGGAGTTTTCAAAAATCTCCACTTTGCCCGGAGTTTTTGTATATATTAGTTTAGAATGTGTAATTTTTTATTTATTTAATGCGATCTACCAATACTACCTTTGCGATCGACTGGTAGATCGCGATCGACGTATTGAGCACCCCTGCAACAGACCATACCATACCATACCATACCAGCTTTATTTATAAAGCACTTTAAAAACTTTACAGTTCAGCCAAAGTGCTGTACACAAAAACAAACACAATACATATATAAAACAATATTACCTAAAATCAAACATTATCAAAAGCACATGAAAAAAGATAAGTTTTACGAAGTGACTTAAAGACAGGCAGAGACTGAGCCTGTCTGATCTCAATGGGTAACTGATTCTAAAGACGTGGACGTGCAACAGAAAAGGCTCGGTCACCACGAAGCTTACGCTGTGTCTTAGGGACCACCAGCATCAGCTGATCTGCCAACCTGAGGGCACGAGAGGGAACATAGGGCAGAATAAGATCACAGAGGTAGGACACACCATGTCTACCCTCATTCTCAATTGTCAGTGCAGCTGGAGCGATGACACAAGAGGAACTGCCAAACCAGATTTTTTGTTGAGATCATCTTTTCAGTTTCCTCTCATCACATCACTCAAGTTTTCTCCATACACGGTAGATACACTTCCACACTTCATCATCATACATCATTTAAATATCATCATGTCAAGCCTAGCCTTTGATGTAATTGTAAAAAAAATACAGCTTTACAACCTGATCAAAGAAGCACATGTTACAGAAGTCCAACTTGTCTGGCGATAAAGAGCACATTCAGTTGGTTTGAGTTGCATTAAGTTGAACATGTGCTTGGTGTGAGAGTAAGTGATAGAAAAGGAAAATGTGGGTAGGGATTAGCTCATGAAAAGATTGTTCCAGAGAGAACGCATTTCACAAATCTCAGTGGAAAGGATTAGCAGCCTGTGTCCTGCTGCGTGCGTGTTAGCTTAGGCGGTTCGTCCAATGTTCAGCAGCAGCAGCGGTCTCACCTCTTTTAGTTTTCTGCAGCTGATATTATCCATGAAGCAGCCGTTTCGTGCCCATCCTTTCATGCTGAGATAGAGGCCAAACAAGCTCCTCCTGATGGGGAGAGGGAGGCAGTGTGCTGCAGTGAGGGGTGGATTATTGTATCTTTATCTGCAAAGAGAATACTAATCGGTCCGTGTATTTTTCGATCAATCGTTTTTTCAAATTATAATTTAAATATCCAAAAATGGCTTGAATTTTCATTTTTCATTTTGATGAGGAAAAGGAAAAACAAAAAATTGGTCTGATGTTTGATTTTTCGTTTCGATGCAAAAAATGAAATAAAATATTGAGCTTTTATTTGATTTGATTTTTTGTTTTAGGCTGTGCCCCATTATTTTCGTCCGGTTGGGAACAGCAGAAAGCAGGCGCATGCATAGCCAAAGCAACGGAACAGGACAGATAGAAAACTTGCAGCCACAGCGGCTCTTTAGGAATGAGTTTGACACCCCAGTTGTTAGATTTATTTAGTTAATGTTTTAAAAATGTTACCCAAAGGTACAGTTAAAGTCAGGTCCTATAGGTTGTGCTCAGGTTGAATTCTGTTTAATTTGAAGCCATTATAAACGTTGCCTAAACTTGCCTTCTTCAAATGCATTCATTCCATTCAAGTATTTTGTAACTTGTTTTATTTGATTACGCTCACAAATGTATGCTGGTTTGAATCTTTACATATTGACTAGATGTTAAGATAAGTCTGGGTGTAATGTCTCCCTTCGAAGTTTACTAAAGGGAAGTAATATGTTTTCATAAGGTTTAACATAACTCCAGGTGCTGTGGCAAATTGTTGATCTTTTCTCTAACCCCTAAAGGTTCACATTAATCCGGTACAAGAATACAAATGAGCAATATTTGTATTTAAGCTTTAAGTAAACTCATACACACACATGATACAATTGCATGTTACAACTGTCATCCATGACTTGTCAGCATTGTCTCTCGTCTGTTATAAAGGCTGTGTGCAAGATTCTGTCTGGAAAATACAGTTGAGCTCCACAAAACGAGTCCAAGAATCCTTAAAACAAGTAAAAGGTCCTGTTCCGTTGCTTTGGCTATGCATGCAGCCTGCTTTCTGCTGTTCCCAACCGGACGAAAATTATGGTGCACAGCCTTTGGCGCATATGTCAGAGGGTGCAAAAGGGTGGTGGGTCTTTTAACGTTTGCTTTGTGTTTTTAGACTTTTTATGCAGGTTGTGTGTTTTATTTGCTCACACACACCACCCGAAGCACCCCGGCTCCCCACGTGATGGACAATCAAGACACCTGTGCCTTGAGCATAAAAGACGGAGATGGGGAGGGGGGAAGGAAAAAAAGGAAAGCTGCAGAGCGAGACGTGGGCCAAACGGGCGTGGGGAGAGCCCCGTGGTCTGGCGGCCCAGGCCGTGGCCAGAAGGATTTTTAGCCTCTGTTTTAGCTTTTTACTCCGTGTTTTTATAGCCGAGGGTTGTGTTGTTTTTTCTATTGCTTTTTAATGTATTTTATGATAAATCGTTTTTAATTTGCTTTTAACCCAGTGGTCTCCTTTTTAAACCCGGGGACAAAGAACCTGCTTGGTCCGTGTACCTTCCGTTCATTCTATTTTCGTTTCTGACGTGCACATCGAAAAACAAACTCTGGGACTTTTTCTTTTTTCCATTGTTGAAAAAAAAATATTGAAAAACCTTCTTCCTCAATTTTTCCGACTTAGAAATTGGTTCGAGGTGAAAGGTCTTGTATTTCAATTTTTGTTTTACAACATTCATTTTTAGGGTTTTCAGTGTGGTGGCCCGGAAGAGAAAATGTTGGCGCCCCCTTCAGTCAGTTTGCTCACTATTCAGAGGAGACCACGACACGTGCAAGTTTAAGGGAGTAGAGTTGAGTCGAAATGGACGGGCCAAACTACATTTTGTTCAAAGGAACAAAGCGTCTGACTTTAAAAGAGGATGACATGATTGCGGAAAAAATTGCCCGCATATTCCAGGTGGGTAACACCTTTCTGGTTTACTTGTAGAACATGCTAACTTTTTAAGGATGCTAACATTACAGTTTGCATACACGTTGCTTAGCAAACTTTTTTTGACATCATGTAATATAGTTATTAAGATTTATCTGTATGGCGAACTGCAATGGACAAAGTAAGAAGAGGCTGTACGTGCCGTTCATAAAGTGTTTCTATTTCAAAGGTATACGCTCCTAGCCTGTATATAACAGATGATGACAACGTCGCAATTTTTCCCGGAACGAGCGGGCATTTCAGCTGTTTCGACCTGCGCCCTCGTGGGCATTACGAAGTCCACGGGGACGACATCGCTCTCCCCGTGGCAGAACAGGTACCACAATCAGGGACCCGGTTCCAGTTCCAGAGAAGTAGCGCAACTGTAACGGCTGCTTTGGGATCACCTGGGCAGGCTTGCAGCACTCCCCTTCGCGCAAGCATGAACACTTCATTTCAAAGGTAGTTACTCACTTTATCATTAATTAACATGCTACTGACTAATCTCTTGTCATATTTGTTCAATAGCCCAGGGCATGCAAAGGCCATGACCAGGATAAAGCGGGGGTTGGGCTCATGTTTAGGCTGTGCGCTTAAAAGAGAACCTAAAAAGTGTCATGTCATGTCATTCTGTGTTGTACTATGTTGCCAAACTTCTTCCACCAAGAATGTTTTATCAAATCATATTGCTTGCCATGAATTATCTGAACAATTCCTATAACAATCTCTCTAGGACTGTTTTCATTGCTGAGCTCAACCAGGGAAAGCTGAGGCCTGCCCGAATGGTTGTCGTACGACTGCTTGAGTTTGAAGCTACCATCACTGGTATACTGGCTAAAATACATGATGCCCTGCAGTGTGAGGACCCTTTTGTCCTGACAGATGCTCAGGGAAATGAGATTGTGGATTCAGAGGGAACACGAGGTGTGTGTGTGTGTGATATTTCACTTAAATACCGTGCTCACCAAGCTGTTTACAACTATTACTTAATTTTCCTTTCTTGCTAGGTTCCAAATACTGGAGGCAAAATGCCAAAAAGTTTTTTGCTGTCCCAGAGCAGGTCTTCCATCAATTCCAGCAGGGAACAAAGGGAAAGAAACAGACGTAAGCATGTAATTACTTAAAGACTACATGATAATAATCCTTAAAGGTATGCCACATTATGACTTATTTATAAAAAATGAATAAATCAATATGTGGGTGGATCAAGTCTGTCAATCATTCAGACTTTTTACAGCTAAAATTCTTATCTTTATGAATTTGCACTGGCTGGATTGACCAATCTTAAAACATTTCTTTTCCTTTTTGCCAAATAAAACCACCGTCATTTCTGTATCAGCCCTGCTGTGATTGCCTTTGGCCCTCGGCCTCAATGACTACATCTGAACCATCACATGTAGTAATGATGTCCGCCTGAGTGCATAAATGTATTACTATTTTTGTGATTTATGTTTTCGTAATTACTTTCCAGTGGCCAGAGAGAGAGCGACTCCACAGGTCTTCAGGAGGTCCATGAAAAAATAGAAGAAGTGGTTCTTGCGGCCCAAGCATTAACAGGAGTTACCTCAGTTATGAAGGACCTAGCAACACTTGCAAGCAGCACTGTGGGCAACGTGTTACTTCTTAGCAACACTCTTACTATACATGTAAAGGATGCATTTCGCTGCATTGTGTGCAGAGGTATGTAACATTTTCTTGACTTATGTTTAACTGTTTGAATTGATTATTGCAGTGGTTCTCAAAGTGGGTAGGGGTACACGGGACTCCCTCTAGTGGTACGCAAAGAATCACTGAAAAAATGTGAAAATAAATGTTTAATTTAACCTGGAAGTACCATTTAGATTAACTCATTGACGTCAACACTATTTTTAAATCTCTTCCTGTCCGTCTGTGTATCATATATGTCTGGGGTTTGGCTGCAGACAGTATTTCATTAAGCCAGCACTGGCAGCAGAGCTCTGTGGGTGTCTAGGTCAAAGATCACTGCCTGAGCACTCTAAGCAGGAGAGACGAAGGTGAAGCAGACATAGAAGAAAATAGTCAGAGTCAGGCTACATTTGGAGGCGGTTTGAGCAGTAAATGTGTCTCTAGAGTTGACACAGACCATGTGGAGGCTCAGAGCAGCAGACCATGTGAGGGTCGGGGCAGCAGACCAGCGGTGCACCACAAAAAAGCCACAGAAATGTGAAGGCAAAGTCTAATTATGGTCCCAGCGCTTGCTGGACTAAACAGAATGACATTGTAAATGTAACTACACATAAACGTGTGCATAAACGCACATACATAAGCGCCCAAACACAAAAAGACACAACAGTATTCTATTGCACTTATACTATAAGTTTATAGTCTGTTCACTTTGATTTATTGTCATGTATAGTGTTTATCATTGTATTTTACTGTTATTGAAATAAATATAGCACCACCTAATGAATGTATACTGGCCATTCTTTCTGGCCTAAGTATTTATTTTATACTTTGTAGTGTTGGTCACTTGTGTTGGTCACTTGTCTTGGTACTTGGAGAGGCAAATATTTTCTGAGATGGTATTTGGTGTAAAAAGTTTGTGAACCACCAGATTATTGCACTAGATTTTTGTATGTTATAGTTATGTAAACAATCTGTATGTATAGCGGTAGTTACACTAAACTTACACTTATTGCCCCCTTTTCTTTAAAACAGGGCTGATGGAAGAACCAGTCTTCGCTGTATGCTGCAAGAGTTTTGTGGGATGCCACAAATGTGTGGACCAATGGCTGTTGACCTCTGAGCAATGCCTCAAGTGCAGGGCAGAGGATTTTGAAATTAATATTCACAGAGTTGCGTGTCTTGACACCCTCCTCTCTGCACTGACTGGTGCAATTAGGATGGATTAGGTATTGTCATAGCATTCATTCCCGTTTAGAAGTTATATGTTCCTGTTCAGTTCAGTTATTTCCAGCCAGAGGTCAGAGTACAGTATTTGTTTATCTGCACTTGAGCCAAAGACTGCAATCTTAAGCAGTTTTAGTATAAATATGAAACTCTGTATTTGTTATAAAACTGATGAATAGATAATTCTTACATTAATGTAAAATACATAAGTACAATTTATTTACAATTGTAATGGTATTGAAAGTTTTGAAACACTGTTGAAACAATGCATTTTATTATTATATTTAGCCATACAGTTTCAAATAAAGATGCATAACCAGTGTCTACTACATGCTTATTTCATGCACATTGTTGAGTAATGTTCATCAGACATAGCAATGCATCCTGGAAAGGAGCAGAGTTGTAATTTACAATGTTGTCAAATAAAACTGCAATATTGGGGTACACCTCTGCAAAACATTGCTCTGCAAATACTTTATCCTCCTCTGATGAAAAGGGGTCCGCTCCAAAGCAGGACACTCGAGTCAAGGAGGAGCCAACATCCTGCTCGTACATGTCAGCAGCTTGAGAGGCATGGGGCAACAACTCCAGTCCTATTTTTTTGGGACATCCTCCTGCAGCCAGACGATTTGGTGTTCCTTTGCCTGTGTGAAAAGTATTAATTTGTTAGGCAGTTAAGTTTGAATTGAACAGGACCACTACATGATGCTACCAATGTTTATGTAATTAACCTGGAATTCTATGTGCATTCCAAGCATTTACAGCTCTAGTAATGCCAATCTTGCATAGCTGACCAGTAAGGTTGGATGTGCAGTATCTGGTTATGTTGTCTTCCAAGTTGATTACTTCCTGATCCTGCAACTGCACCAGGGCCCCCTTCAGTGGAAAATTTACCCGGTTGTTTATTTCAACCAACATTCGCTCGATCATATGATTCTGGAGATGACAGGATACACAATGTGGTCCATGAAATCCAAGAAATATGGTGTGTATGTGTGGTGACAAGCACTCCCAACGAGGAATAGTCCATGCATAACATGTTTGCTTGTTCTTGTAATTTGGAAACCTTGACACATTTTACTATTAAACAATAGTGTGGAAATGAAGTATGTAACTACCTCACCTTTGTTGATGGGGTTTGGAGGTATGGTTCCCTTTGAATGTTATGTCTGTGTTTTGACAGCAAACCCTGCATGTAGAGAGACAGGTAAAATTCCCGTCCATGGTCCACTCTCACCTGGTCCCACATACCATATTCAAGAACTGCAGATCTGCAATTTTTTTTTTTTTTTTTTTATTCATTTATTTGACAGGGACAATGTAGTCATACATAGTTACATTATGAAAATGCAGCTGATGCGACACATACAGAGTGTATAGCTAATGCTAATTTTCAACTCCTGTCCCTGGTTGAGCTTTTCCCTACAGTGCAACACATTATACAGAATGAATAAAATAGGCCTAGCCCTAAAACACATATTTACAACAGTGATCTAAAATTAAGACATTCCCCCAACCAATAACAGCCATATGGGCAAAATATTCACAAACGAGAACACTCACACACACACTCACGTACACACACACACACACACACACACACAAACACAAAATACTGTTTACAGGTTTAGAAATGGGTGCATGATTGGTTTGTTTTCAGCCACAGCTTGAGCTTTGAGGTGAACTCCTTGAATTCTAATATGTTTTTTAGTTCAGTGGGCAGCGAGTTCCACAGTTTGGCCGTTTTTATGGAGAAAGCAGACTGACCAAATGAGGTTCTCCTGTGTGGAATTGCACAGTTGTTGTGGGATGTACTTCTGGTGACTCTGTTGCTGGTCTGTCTCTGTATAAATGAACTTAGTGGCTCTGGTGCCAGGTTATTGATGCATTTGAATGTTAGTTTTAGAGAGTACAATAATATAAAATTTTCAAAACTCAGTAGATGACAGTTTTTGAGTATATTGCAGTGGTGATATCGGGTTGGTTTCTTGTCCATAATTTTTATTGCTTGATTGTATAAT